TTCGGCTCATCGTCAGCGAAAAACGCTTGGGTGTGAACACAAAAAACGCGTTGAAAAACGCTGACGAATAACGCGCGCTGATACTCGTCCCGGTGTGTACGGGCCTTAAGGCTTTTGGCTTAGTTGAGGACACAATAATATTCAACAATATTATTGATCTGCCCTCTTTGACACCGTTATATGAGAACTGAACTGAGGTGCACGATGACATCACTGTTTTCTCTAGAGCGGCTATATAATGAACTCGATTAATAACTTTTTTACAACAAAAGTGGACCATTACTGAACTTATTTTAGCTGGACTATGACACTGTTTTCTTCTTGATCTGCTTTACAGCCAACATGATATCATGACTTTTGCGTAAACATACACGCCACTTTCGAGTCAAGTGGCGTGTTATCTCTACGCATTTTGAGCTATCTGCGTGTATCCGCGTGTATGCGTGTATGTCTACGCCATTGATTATGCGATAAAAAAAATGGCATCTGATCGTTCGCCAGGTCCAGACGGTATTACATCTAACTTCTATAAACACTTTTGGGAAGATTTAAAACACCTACTATTTCAGGCTATAAATGAATGTATTAATCAAAAAGAACTAATGCAAACTATGAAACAAGGAATAATAAAATTGATTCCAAAACCTGGAAAAGATGAAAGAATATTAAGCAATCTAAGACCTATTACCCTGTTGAATACAGACTACAAGATTATAACAACTGTTTTGGCAGCAAGATTAAAGACGGGTATATCTAAATTAATCAGCCCAACACAATCTGGTTTTCTTAAAGGAAGATCCATCCATAATAACATCCGCCTGGTCCTGGATCTTATTGATTATAATTATTTAATTAAGGAAGATGGTTTTATCTTTTTCTTGGATTTCCAGAAAGCATTCGATTCAGTGGAACATTTATTTATTGTTAACACACTGAGACACTTTGGCTTTGGAAATAAGTTTCTTGATATGATCATTATGTTACACACAGATATTACAGTTTTTCTCAATTGCTTAAACACTATAACCAGGCCTTTGAACTAAAATTTCAAAACCATAATGCCATTTATCAAAAAGCACACCCATTTCCCTAAACTATAAACACTATTCCCTGTTTTGACACATGAATCAGAATTGTTGAACAATCACTGCAAAACTCTACACACAAATCCCTTAATTTCTCATTGCCTAGACCATGTGGTCATTTAGAAAGCACTAGCATTCAATATTGTTCACTCAAGTCAGCATAGTTTCAGCTCACTTAGCACACAATTACCCAGATGAAAACACTAAGAGTCACAATTTAACACACATCAATCAGAACTTTCAAGGTGCCTAAAAGTGCCAGAGTCAGTTCATCTGAGTTTTGGAACAATGGATCCACAAAGAAATGAAGGAAGAGGACGTGGAGGGAGCGGAAGAGGATATGGTGAAGGAGGAGGAAGAGGAGGAAGAAGAGGAAGAGGAGGACGTGGTGAAGGAGGAGGAAGAGGAGGAAGAAGAGGAAGAGGAGGACGTGGTGAAGGAGGAGGAAGAGGATATGGTGAAGGAGGAGGAAGAGGAGGAAGAAGAGGAAGAGGAGGACGTGGTGAAGGAGGAGGAAGAGGAGGAAGAAGAGGAAGAGGAGGACGTGGTGAAGGAGGAGGAAGAGGATATGGTGAAGGAGGAGGAAGAGGAGGAAGAAGAGGAAGAGGAGGACGTGGTGAAGGAGGAGGAAGAGGATATGGTGAAGGAGGAGGAAGAAGAGGAAGAGGAGGACGTGATGAAGGAGGAGGAAGAGGATATGGTGAAGGAGGAGGAAGAAGAGGAAGAGGAGGACGTGATGAAGGAGGAGGAAGAGGACATGGTGAAGGAGGAGGAAGAGGAGGAAGAAGAGGAAGAGGAGGACGTAGTGAAGGAGGAGGAAGAGGATATGGTGAAGAGGAAGAGGAGGATGTGGTGAAGGAGGAGGAAGAGGACATGGTGAAGGAGGGAGAGGAGGAGGAAGAGGGGGACGTGGTGAAGGAGGAGGTAGAAGAGATGGTGGTGAAGCAGGAGGAGACAAGCAGTCTCAGATGAAATTAGAGCCACTTGAGTTGATCATGTCCTTGTCCATGGCATGACTATGAGGGAGGCTGGACAACGAGTACAGCCTAATTTGAGTCACTTCACCTTCGCCTCCATCATCAGAAATTTCAGGGAGAAAAACAGGAAAACAGGGGTGAGTCAGGCAAAAGAATTTTACCTCTGCTGCCGGGCTAGGGCTAATATAGCCTGTGATGTGGATGTGATTGGCTTGACCCAGACCAAAGGCAGGAGGCTGAGGTGGAATAATCTTTCTTTCTTTTTTTTTTTTTTTTTTTGTGGTACTGTGTAGTACATGAATGAATAAAAATGTGCCAATGTATCCATTGGTTGTGTCTTTTGTCATGTGAAAAAGTTTGTGAGGAGGGGAACCACAAGTAACATAACTTACCAGTTTTGGAAATGTTGTTTTGAATTTATTGGACCAGTGTGTTAGACTATGTTGTAGTGTGTGTTATTTTGAGGGCTTGTGTGTCCTGTCTGAGGGCAAAGTTTGTTTTTTCAGCAAGAGTGAATGGTTTTGAATGTAGAGTTTCATTTTGACCTGAAAATAGGTTGTTTGGGAAACTGGGTGAGACGTTATGGATTTGTGTTTACTGTTTTGAGAATAAGAGGCATAGTTTCAAGAAATGTGTTTAAGCAATCGAGAAAAACTGTAATAGCTGTGTTTCCCTCTCGGAAGGTACATGTCCTAGATTTAAGGTTGAACGAGGAATAAGACAGGGCTGTAGTATCTCTCCTCTTTTATTCATTGCCGTGACTGAACTGCTAGCAATTGCGGTTAAAAATTCAAATATTAAAGGTTTAGAGATAAACAACCATAAATTACTCATAAGTCAGCTCGCTGACGACACGACTCTGTTTTTACAAAATAAGGAACAAATACCAGTAGCTGTAAAAGTAATAGAGCGGTTTTCACTAGCATCGGGTTTATATCTAAATTTGAGTAAATGTGAATTGATGAGCATTCATAATTGTTCTGAACTCTCACTTTATAATATACCAGTCAAAAATGACATTAGATATCTAGGTATTTGGATTTCCAAAGCATCAGATAGTGAAAAAAAGAATATCCAAGATAATATTGATAAATGTCAAAAAAACATTAAACAGTTGGTTACAAAGAGATTTAACATTATTTGGTAGAACGATGTTGACTAAGATTGAATCTATATATCCATCCTGCTCTCTTGCTATTTCTCCTAAGTTAATTAAAGAAATTAATAGAATCAATTTTAATTTCATTTGGAAAAATAAACATCACTACATTAGAAAAGGAGATCTGTTGAAAGATTATGAGGAAGGTGGCATAAAAGCAATTGACTTTGAAATTATGAATGGAATATTGAAAGTTAAATGGCTCCAATCTTTTTTGAGGAACGGTGAAGAGATATGGTTCTCCTTACCGGCATATATATTTGATAAAGTGGGAGGTATTGCATTTTTAATAACATGTGACTTTGAAATATCCAAATTGCCTATAAAACTTTCAATGTTTCATCAGCAGGTTTTGTTACAGTTGAAACTGATGTTCAAACATAACTTCAGTCCCCACAATGTTCCATTATGGAATAACAGAGTTATATTGTGTAGAAGGAAATCTATGTTTCTGAAAGACTGGTGGGAAAGGAAATATGGTCAATTGTTCATATATTGGATGAAAATGGTAATATTCTTGAACTGGAGGAATTTAACTCTAAATATAATATTAATTGCTCATTTGTGGATTACAACAAAGTAACACAAAACATACCAAAGGTCCTTATTCAAGCAATAAAGAATAATATTATGAACATTGCATCTCCAGAACTACACAAAATTAAAATCGATTATGTGGACCTGGTAGACAAAAAATGTAATAATAAATTCCTCATGAAAACTCTTGTTAACTGTTTGTACCCGGGTAGAACAAGGAGTACTCTATTCTTTTCTGGTTTTAACAAATATGAAATTACTTCAATTAGAACAAAATTCCTAAGATATCCAATTCCTCCCAAATTTAAGGAAGTACATTTTAAAACAATAAATAACATATATCCCTCTAATGAGTTTATAAAGAAAAGATTTAAATTGGAAGTAGAAAATTGTCATATCTGCAATATTTATGTTGAAACAACTGAACACCTGTTTTATGAATGTCAAATGGTTCAAAATTTATGGAAATCTCTTCACACCATGTTGTCCTCCAGTTCCATAAACATAGATTTCCTTTCATATCAAAATATTCATATGGGTGTAATTCTACAAAATAAAAATGACGAATTTTTGGTCAATAATCTAATTATAGCTACAAAATATTATATACATAAATGTCGATTTGCTAAGTCCTCCCCCTCATGGTCTGCATTTAAAAACGAACTTTTGCTGTTTCAAAACTGTCTCATTAAGGTTGAGAATGCCCAAGCTAAGAAATTGTATAACCGTTTAGTGACACTTCAAATGAGTTGAGTCCCTCTATTTTCTTTTTTTTTAAATTTTATTTATTTTTTTAATTTTTTTAGTGTTTTGAGCTCCTTAAGTGTATTTGTTCTCCCTTGTCATGTGATCAGTGCAGAGGATGTCTTTTTGGATGATGTGCGGGAGGTGTGAATCTTGGTTTGTAATACATTAGTATTTGTATTGTACATTTTGAGATTGTCATACGCTCTTCTTTGTTGGATTTCTTTATTGTTTGTTGTAATAAGTAAAAGTTCAATAAAAAAAAAATAAAAAAAACAAGGACCCAAAAGCTAAACATATTGAAAAATAAAAAAATAACAACTTGACAGTATTTTGATTTAGAAAATCCCAAATATAAAAGTTAATAAATAAAATAAATACATTTAACCAAAAGGTACTAAAAATAAATAAATAAATGTATACATAAATCAAGAGCTTAGCTCGTTACAATGGCGACTGTAATAGCGCTTTTCATTTGAGAGAGTACAGAGAGATGATCAGGAGTTTTAAGTTCATGTATAACGCACGGAAAGTGGAGGGTTAAAAGTCCTACATTTATGGAAGAGAAGAAGAAGACTTTTATTTTGCTATGTTGTGTGTGACGTCATTAGGCTGCGCCTCATCTCAGAGTGCAGAAGGTTTGTGTTTTTTCCTTCTTGTTTTCCGTGTTTTAGTCGAAACGAAGCGTTCTCTGTGTGTAATAGTGTTCTGAAACGGTGTAAAATGCATTACTGGATGTAACACTGCAGTGCTTTACCTAAGGTTAATGCTTGTGATTTTATGATTGTGTAAATAATAACTTGCACGTGTCGAGGCGGGAATCAGTTTACGGTAAACAATAACAGTTATGCAGAAACTGAAGCAGATTATTCACTGAAAACACACACACACAAACGTGGAATGACTGACACTGGCTTTCACAAACACTTTCATTCGCTTTTAATCGATTTAACTTACCGAGCATTAAACACATGCTACACATAACGTTGCATGTTAATTGTTCAGTATAAATAAATATAACCTTATAAATAAATACTTGTTGTAGTTTTTGACTAATCAGGCCATTATTGTTGTGACTACTGAACTATGGAGACGCACGGTTCTGAGATGTAGTTCTTTGATTGAGTTTATATTATATTTATTTTGTCCACACACAGAGAAAAGCTCCTGGAGAAGCGACAGAGATCCACACCGTTATACCGATGGCGTTTATTAAAGAGGAGAGGGAAGAAGTGAGGATCTCAGAAGTGTTCCAACTCCAGGTCAAGCTGGAAGACCCCGAGACCGGTCAGTTTCACTCTTTCTGTTCACATGTTCCTCACTGGGATCGGCCAGGGTTAGTGTGAGCAGAGTAACTTACACACAACAGGGGCACTGCTTCACATCAACCGGTTTCTCTCTTTATTTAAACATTCATTCAGTCACTAATTAGGTCACATGACATACACTCTGCAATATGATTGCTTGGTTCCAAAATAAAATAAACAAATCAAATATAAATGAGAGCACAATATTTATAAATCTCAACACCCCGACTTGCTCTCACATTTATATTTCATCATTTCCAGTTCATCACTTCAATTTAGACCCTTTTCAGTTGGTAAACATGGTGACGTTTTTTTGTGGGCGGAGCTTAGGTGGAGGCAGAAAGATCCGTCTGGCCGCTTCACTAACGCTAGTTAGCAAGGATTGTTAGCAATGACTGGAGAAAATCAGATATTATCTTGATGTGTAAGGTCACTCAGTGTCCAGGACCGCGATTTTTATTTCCAAAAGTTATTTTTAACAGACAGAACCAGATTGGCCGACCCGTAGCCGCCTAACGTTACACGCTCACTCAATGATGGACGATCTGACAGGATTAACGTACGTTACCTCGGTTGAGTGGCCTGACTTCTACACCTACCTTATAGAGAAACCGATCGTAAATAGAAACTGAGGGCGTATAAATCTTTATATGGACCTGTACAAGACTTGTGTGTACGATCCGCAGTTCTGCCGAGCCAGTGCCGAGAACATAAAGAGTGACATTACAGTGCGATTTTAATGATGTGAATATTTTCTAGAAATAAAAGTTCCAAATGCAGCATATTCATTTTTCATCAATTCTTGCACCAAACACAACAAGATGACATTTAATAATAGTAACAATTATTTAAGCTCCTTATTATGTAGCCGAATCTGTGCTGGGTTGCATTGGCCGCCTCCAGTTTTCACTTTGTTTTGCCTCCAGCTAGCGCCGTGACGTAACTGTGACGTCGGCGCAAAAGGGGTCTGTAAGTACTAAATTCATACACCAAACATAAAGGAGTTAAATTTCATTTTCTTGAACTTTGTTGCTGGTTTTGTAAACACATCTGCAACCATGTCATCAGTCAGACAGTATTCCAGATTAATTCCTCCCTCCTTTATTACAGATCTTACTAAATGAGATTGAACGTCCACACGTTTACATCGTTGTCTATACACAGGAGCTAAAGCAGTGGCTCCCTGATTGTCCTCATACACTCTCGATTCATATTCCTGACCATCGATGTTTTCTGACCCGTGCTGTAGAGTAAACACTCCTTAAAGACATACTCTGCTTCACAAGTCGAACCTGTAACCTTTGTGTAAACACAATGATCGGCTACAAACTCCATTTCACACAGATACTCATTTCACACAGATACTCATTTCACACAGATACTCGTTTCACACAGATACTCGTTTCACACAGATACTCGTTTCACACAGATACTCGTTTCACACAGATACTCGTTTCACACAGATACTCGTTTCACACAGATACTCGTTTCACACAGATACTCGTTTCACACAGATACTCGTTTCACACAGATACTCGTTTCACACAGATACTCGTTTCACACAGATACTCGTTTCACACAGATACTCGTTTCACACAGATACTCGTTTCACACAGATACTCGTTTCACACAGATACTCGTTTCACACAGATACTCGTTTCACACAGATACTCGTTTCACACAGATACTCGTTTCACACAGATACTCGTTTCACACAGATACTCATGCAACATTTGGTTCCAGTTTCTGCCCGACTGTTTAAGTCCATTCAGTGACTTTTCCCAGTTATACAGCAGTTTCGTATTACCTTGAGATGTTGTCTCGTAACCCTGTGGCTGATTCATATAAATGTCACACTCTATTGGCGCATGTAAATATGCAGTGGTCATGAACAGCCCTGTACTTCTGTATCTGGTCACACTGGAGAAACAGTCTCATGATAGTCCACGCCTCTCTCTCGACTGTAATCTACAGATTGTGCTGTGTACTGGTCCGTTCCATCACTACTTATCTTAATGGCGTTGACCCATTTACCCCCCACTAAATCTGCTGGTTAGGGTAAAGGTTGCACTTTCCTTTAGTGACTTCATCTCTTCACTCGTGGCCTTAACCCATTCATCTGCAGTCCCTGATCTTACTGCCTCTTTGTATGTCTGGGGTACATTACATACAATAATCAATGTCAGCTTCGTCGCCATAATCACTTGAATAACCTGGCCGTTTCCTCTCTCTGGCAGGATTTCTCTCTCTTTCAGGTTCATGATCTATTTGTGTTTGGTTTCCGCACATTTCTGGCTCTTCTACTATGACTGAGGATTAATTTCAGGATCTTCTCTTTCCGATTCTCTCAGATTATTCCTAACCCTAAAATCATCAAAATCATCATCAATCGGTATCTGTTCACCTCAGCACTCATTCTGGGTAAAAGCGTGACTAGTCTGCCCACTATCAGGATAGTAGATCATGTCGGCCGGACTATTCCTGTCATATCCCGCAGAAATGCCCTTCTCCCTTCTCCGGTTCAGTTTACTTTTCTCATGTTGGAAAGCATAACACGAAATACTTCTGCCTTCTTGTTCGTTTGCTTGCCTGTGAACATGAAGTAATCTGTCTGTTTAGTCTGAAAACAAAGTGGAGAATCCTTTAAGGGTGTTTTAAGGACATGTTTGTGCCGGTCTGAAGAGGTCAGAGGTTATTGTAAAAGAGTCAAGAAGTCGAGACCCGTCGTCAAACTGTCTGTGTCACCAAAACAAACTACACAATCCCGTAATCCTCCTTTAAGGACACCCCCATCTTTGGGGTATTATTGAAGGAATTAATACTTCCTAACACTTAACTGGGAACATTGATCCAGTGCTTTCCAATGAGTGGCAGACAAGTTAGATTTCCAACAGGGTTCAAGGTTTATATAAGACTTAAAACAGAACTTATAGGTTTAAATGGGACAGATTGATTTTATAGATTCATAAATCTGCGCTACATTGACAGCACTATAGTCATGCTGTTTTGAAAATGCGCAATGCGGTTTATAAAATGTAAATAAGTTGTTTGTAATTTTGGGTTCATCTGATGGAACGGCACCAAACAGGCCCAAGCGCTATTGCTTACTATATATAAACAATATTATATCCAGCGGCTTCTCCTACATCTGTTGGTGATGTTTAGTGCCAGTTCATTAGGAAGTGACCATTGTGAGACTTATCGTTGCTGCTTTATTCGCACATGTTTAATGCAATATTGCCATTTTGTGCATAACGTAAATTCACATCTTTGAATGTAGCGTGCAATGATATTCAAAAAGAGATAGCTTTGTCTTTTTTATTTAATTACAAGATCATCTGTAATGTTGTTTATTGCAACATTTGTACCAATGTTCAATATGCGATACATTACATATTGCCTGGAATATCTTTAATATTTTTAAGTTAAAAATAAAAGAGATATTTTATAATGTTTTTTATATATGCTTTTATAATGCTAATAGCTTGTGAACCGTAAGGCCTATCAACAAAATCATTTGACGGTTTGTCCGATTTTCACCATCTTCAGGCAGTGTCGAAAAAACTTATGGAATTCAAGTTGATTCGCTTAACCGGTTTTCGATAAACGTCGATGAACTGTCATCACAAGCATGACCCGATGCTACATGCTGCGTTTAGATGCAGCGCCACCTACTGGTCTCTTTAGATTCAGGGCGTCATGCCGAGTCGACTGATATGCAATTTTCCCAGCTCGGCCATTTTGGCTGTCGGCCATTTTGAATTCTGGGAGTCATCTCGTTGGGTTCCTGAATTTTTGCTGAGATATCTAACACGCTACGTTTCTTCTTACGGTTTGTTTAGCGTTGTGATTTGGCGCTTAAAGGGTTAGTTCACCCAAAAATGAAAATTCTGTCAGTATTTACTCACCCTCATGTTGTTCAACCCCGTAAGACCTTCGTTCATCTTCGGAAAACACAAATTAAGATATTTAAGATATTAAGATCACTCCTGGATACTAGTCCATAGGCTTCTTGAGGGACTGGCTCTTGCTGGCATCGAAAAGTCATTAAAGACATCGTTAAAATAGTCCAAGTGACTACAGGGGCTCAATCTTAAGTTTATCAAACGACGAGAACACTTTTGTACGCAAAAAAACAACAAAAATAACGACTTTATTCGTTTATTTCTCCCTCTGCGCGAGTCAGGTTACTAGTTTAATAGCGTAAGCTTCTGTTATTGTACGTCAATTTAGAAATTAAAGAAATTATCCACACTTTAGGATACAGTATAACAAAAATGATATTCATGCAATCATGCTGAATTTCACTATCTGACTTTAAGCACATTTTGGGACTATCTCAGTGGAAAGCTAGGTGAGATTTTGACATAGCAAGAGAGAAGACATTGGCATGCTTTTTGTTTGTTTGGCCAAAAAAGAATGTGAACAATAATGTGAACAAATGTCTACAAGAACTTGTGCATTTTTATCACACAAATCTTATTTACACAAAGAAATTAACTTGCATTTATCAACTGCCAACTTTTGTAGCTCTTACAAAAATTCTATCTTTTAAAAGAAAAAAGAGGAACTCTTAAAACACTGTCTTTTATGAATAAGTCAATATGCATGAAACCTCATTGCCTATAATTAGCTATAGCAATAGCAAAGGCCATAAACATAAAGTTCAACCTCAACCAAGACAGTATCAACAATGCTTCTATTCCCAGAGAGTGAAGGTACTATTTTTTTTCACTTGAAATTAAAGTGCAGGATTTGGAAACATTTGACTGAAGCTCTTATCTAAACATAAAGTGCCTCTGTAGCGTTATATTAAAATATCATAACATGAAATCCAAAATGTTCCCACACACCGGACTTATACCATAGACTTATACGACGCTGGCGCATCCTCCAACTGCTTCATCTCTCCCACTTGCCATTTCTCCGCGTGCCGTGACCTGCATCGCTCCATACTCCACTTTTACTGGCTTGTTTACT